TCCTCAGACCCTCTGTCCTTAGACCCTCTGTCCTCAGACCCTCTGACCCTCTGTCCTCTGACCCTCTGTCCTCAGACCCTCTGTCCTCAGACCCTCTGTCCTCAGACCCTCTGTCCTTAGACCCTCTGTCCTTAGACCCTCTGTCCTTAGACCCTCTGTCCTCAGACCCTCTGTCCTCAGACCCTCTGTCCTAGACCCTCTGTCCTCAGACCCTCTGTTCAGACCCTCTGTCCTCAGACCCTCTGTCCTTAGACCCTCTGTCCTCAGACCCTCTGTCCTCAGACCCTCTGTCCTCAGACCCTCTGTCCTTAGACCCTCTGTCCTAGACCCTCTGTCCTTAGACCCTCTGTCCTCAGACCCTCTGTCCTTAGACCCTCTGTCCTTAGACCCTCTGTCCTCAGACCCTCTGTCCTCAGACCCTCTGTCCTCTGACCCTCTGTCCTCAGACCCTCTGTCCTCAGACCCTCTGTCCTCAGACCCTCTGTCTTAGACCCTCTGTCCTCAGACCCTCTGTCCTTAGACCCTCTGTCCTTAGACCCTCTGTCCTTAGACCCTCTGTCCTCAGACCCTCTGTCCTCAGACCCTCTGTCCTCAGACCCTCTGTCATTAGACCCTCTGTCCTCAGACCCTCTGTCCTTAGGCCCTCTGTCCTCAGACTCTCTGTCCTCAGACCCTCTGTCCTTAGACCCTCACTTCGTACAAGGAAACTCTTCCAGAGAAACCCCACAGTTTAAAGGGAACATGGGAGAAACCTCAGGGAGAGCAACAGAGGAGGGATCCCTCTCCCAGGACGGACAGACGTGCAATAGATGCCGTGTGTAAATTGAAGAGATAATACATTTTACAGCATATAGACCGAATGTTAGGAAATGCATGTGTCTGTAATAAGAAGATGAATCCACGAGGATGTCAGCTACAGTCTTGTGGAAGCCATCAGGGAAGTAGTATGATGAGAGTCATGCAGGACCGCAGAGACAGGTTCAGCCACGACTCGAAGTCCAGGACTCAGGACTCAGGATAGAGGATCCAGGACGTAGGACCACAGCAACAGGATCAGCCTCGACTCAGGATCCCGGCGTAGATATGGACACAAAAAAGAGATTTGGGGGAAGCTGGGTTAATCGGAACATGAGAGTACACAGGTACAAACAGCCAGAAAGACGGAGTAAGGTGCCCCCCTCAACAGTCCAAGCCTATAGCAGCTAAACTAACGTGTCTACATACATGCACTCCCTTAGGATAGGTTGAGGGAAAAGGGTAGCAAGTAAGAAGTAGGAAACAGAGGTGGAGAGGCACACGCAGGGAGAGAGGTCTCCCACTGGAACCTGAATTGGTGAGAGGTAAGGAGTAGGTCAGTGACTACGTTCCACACTCCCAGGCCGGGCTAGGCCTTCTCTGCAACCTGTTACCCTCTAATGGCACATTTCCACTGCAGCAGGGTAGCCTCGTTTAAGCGTCCCTAAGCGTCCTCGCTCAGGCCTCGGGCTGCCTCGCTGGCCGTCAGAGGCCGTGGCGCATTTCCATTACAGTTACCTGGGGTAGCAACGCAATGTAGGCGGGGCGATCGGGTTTTTGGGCGGAGCGACGCTGGGTAAAACTGCAGTGGCGTCATCTTCAATGCGACACAACTCACAAAACAATGGAGGATGTGGAAGCGATCGTTTACTTGTTTCTTGGTGTGTGGCTTGTTGCTGCAAGCTTGATCTAGATGTATATGCGACGCTAGGGATGATCTCGCGCGTGATCTTGTGACGATTCTCTCTGACCAATCAGCAGTCGAGAGTGTTGAGAGTAAAAAAAAAAAGTACCCGCTAGCCAGTGCTACGCTATATGGAAAGGCCACCAAAAACTGACCTGGCCGCTTGAGGTCGCTTAAACGGGGCTACCCGCTGCAGTGGAAATGCGCCATTATAGAACCTCGAGAGGTCAGAGAGGGGAAAGGGTTTGGATAAAGTTTTAAATATAAGATCTAGGTTTTTAGGATTTAAGTGAAAGAGTAAGAACTAAAATGTATCGGTGAAGAGGCACAACGTATCTACGTCAATGCACTCTTATTAGATTATTTTATTTTATCACTATAAGCTTTATCAAAAAGGAAGGTCTTAAGCGCACTCTTAAAAGCGGGTAGGCTGTCTGCCGCCCGAACACAAACTGGAAGCTGATTCCACAAAAGTGGAGCTTGATAAGAAAATGTATCCAATAAGAGTCTAGTATTCTATTTACTGCCTTATTTAGATATAATATTTGCTCTAAAACGTATCGAGATATTCTTTTAAATCACCAAAAGCACAGCTAAATGGAATAGATATCTTCGATAAATAATTTGTCCGATGAATGTTTATGGATGTTCTTTCAAAAGTTCATAATGCCCCTAGATGATGCAGTGATCAGAGCGTTTAGACAGATTGCAGCAGCTATTCATTCAGATGTAAGAACACACAGGAAGGCAGCGTGAAGCAGAGGAAGCATGCTCCTGTCGCCTCAGATCATCTGTGAAGCAAATGGCCTGTCACCACGCTATCAACTTTTAACATATTTAGTTGTCCCTGCTGTCAACAGACTGTAAAATGGCACGAGGTGATAGCGCTGCGATGCTAACAGGTATACAAAGACGCCGCCACGCTAAACACTTATCTGTTTCCCACACGCACACTTGTGAAAGAAAGCAGGAAACATGTACTGTAATGTGATTTTGAGCAATTCTCCAGTTAGATTGGTTGGCCTTGAAACTAATGACAACATGCCAAGGATGTGAGGCTGTTGGAGACATTGCGATGATGATCTATGCGAGTCTGTTTTGAGAGGCGAATCAGCTAAGATATTATTAATGTTGGAAGCTGTTTACATCACTACGTGCTGGACAGATATGTTTACATCACTACGTGCTCGACAGATATGTTTACATCACTACGTGCTGGACAGATATGTTTACATCACTACGTGCTGGACAGATATGTTTACATCACTACGTGCTGGACAGATATGTTTCCAGCTTCATCCTGCCTGACAGCGAGCTCTCCCCTCACACATCACACCACCTGCTGCTGAGCAGGTTCAAAGATTTGCTCAAGGGCATCTTACCGATAGTTACTGAAGGGGAAAGACAGCGTTCACACTGCCCTCCTCTCTCTCTAAAAAACGAAAACGTTCAGTAGAGACGTGTGTAGTTCTGGGGGGGGTTCGATTCCAGTTTTGGATAGTCTGGCGTGGTTTCGTTCCATTTCAAACAGCTGTTTGACGCTCGGCGTAACCGTGGCGCACTGCCACTCCAACATCCAATCCCAGAGCTTGAAGATTAATCACGGGGACTGTAGTAGCTGGGGATTATGGGTAGTGTAGTGTCTTCGGCCATCCTAAACTCCTAGAGGCCTACGTCTGTTTCCGGTTATTTTTATTTTGAAATTCAGTTCCTGACGGACGCCAAAAAAGCCCGAGATTATGGAATTAAACCAATAAATAAAAGCAAGGATAATTGTGTGTTATTGGTGAGTAAATAACAGTGTGCTATTTTGAAAAGAATAACAAATTAGAAGGAAAAAAAGATTTTAAAAAATACAGATTTCAGTATTCTGAGGCTCTGAGCCATTTATTTTCCTCACAGACGGCAACAAAAGTCTGAAAATATACGATTTAAAATAAAAGCAATACTTGTGGCTTGATATTGAGTAAGAACATGTTTTTATGAACCACACAGCTTCCGGTCTTCCTCGACCCGACCGGAGAAAAAGACATGCTGCAGGCACAAAACACATTACCAGTAGAAAATATATTGCTTTTAAAATCGTGCTGTGCAACACGAAAAAAAGGGGGAAATCGTGTTGGTGAACACGAAATGCCGTGAGACTGGGTTGCTCTCTCTTAGGGCTTTTATATTGCCACTGAATTCTTTCTTGTATTACATATTTTCTCTGCACCCGTTTCCTCCCTGAAATCCAGCGACCTGACACTGGACGAGCCTCTGTCCGTCTCCCCCTCCCTTCAAGGCTCCAGCTGATTGATGGGCAGAGTAATGGCCCTCCTCACTGACACTTTTATTTGCACGATTTACAGGCAGAGGACACCTGCTGCGTGCGGATTGCCGTATCGTCTCCTGCAGATGAGGCTCACACACTGCATGTTGACAATCAGGGTTCAAGTTCACTTCCTGCCATTTGTTTCTGTGATCAGTGTGTGTGCATCATCTTGGAAATGAGAGTGGTATTTATAGCTTGCATATGTCCCAGACTTATACGCTTTGTAAATCCAAGATTATGACATTGATTTCCGTCCGTCTGTTCTCTGAACAACGTTGGGCCTTCCTCAGATGCTCAGTGGCCAAAGCTAGCCGCTAAGCTAGCCGCTAAGCTTATCCCTGAATGAGTACATTTCATTTGATGATAATACTTTTCTACTTTTACTTGAGCCACATTTTGAATGCAGGACTTTTACTGTAACAGAATATTCTTACACTCTGGTACTTCTACTTTTACTCAAGTACAAGACCTGAGTACTTCTACTTTTACTCAAGTACAAGACCTGAGTACTTCTACTTTTACTAAAGTACAAAATCTGAGTACTTCTACTTTGACTCAAGTACAAGATCTGAGTACTTCTACTTTGACTCAAGTACAAGATCTGAGTACTTCTACTTTGACTCAAGTACAAGATCTGAGTACTTCTACTTTGACTCAAGTACAAGATCTGAGTACTTCTACTTTGACTCAAGTACAAGATCTGAGTACTTCTACTTTGACTCAAGTACAAGATCTGAGTACTTCTACTTTGACTCAAGTACAAGATATGAGTACTTCTACTTTTACTCAAGTACAAGATCTGAGTACTTCTACTTTTACTCAAGTACAAGATCTGAGTACTTCTATTTTGACTCAAGTACAAGATCTGAGTACTTCTACTTTGACTCAAGTACAAGATCTGAATACTTACCTGAATACCTGAGTACTTCTCCCACCTCTGACTGTATATTTAAGAGTGTTTTGTAATGATGGTTCCTTTTCTCGCAGCGATTGGAGAGCCGGTGAGGTTGGAGTGGTTCAATCCTCAGGGCGAGCGCATCCTTCCCTCCAAACGGATGGCTCTTCACTCTGAAACGTCACGATCCAGACTCATCATCTACAACGCCATCATCGAGGACGCGGGGATCTACCGCTGCCAGGCCACGGACGCTAATGGACACACGGAGGAGGCCTCGGTGGTGCTGGAGATCTACCGTAAGACACACACACACACACACACACACACACACACACTAGCTTTTATCAGCAGAGGTGGGAAGTAGTGGAGTACAAATACTTGGTTACTGTACTTAAGTACATGTTTCTGGTATCAGTACTTTACTCCACTACTTAATTTTCTGACGACTTATTACTTTAACTTCTTACATGTTGAACTCTAATACCTGTACTTTCTACTTCTCACATGTTGAACTCAAATACCTGAACTTTCTACTTCTTACATGTTGAACCCAAATACCTGTACTTTCTACTTCTTACATGTTGAACTCAAATACCTGTACTTTCTACTTCTCACATGTTGAACCCAAATACCTGTACTTTCTACTTCTTACATGTTGAACACAAATACCTGTACTTTCTACTTCTTACATGTTGAACTCAAATACCTGTACTTTCTACTTCTCACATGTTGAACTCAAATACCTGTACTTTCTACTTCTTACATGTTGAACTCAAATACCTGTACTTTCTACTTCTTACATGTTGAACTCAAATACCTGTACTTTCTACTTCTCACATGTTGAACTCAAATACCTGTACTTTCTACTTCTTACATGTTGAACCCAAATACCTGTACTTTCTACTTCTTACATGTTGAACTCAAATACTTGTACTTTCTTCTTCTCTCATTTTCCAAACAGCTGGTTCCTTTAGTCTGAATGTGTGTTTGGTGCCTGATCATTATTCTTTAGAGTCATTGCGTGCCTATTGATTTGAACACGATCCGTGTATCCATCATTTCCTGGTCTTCTCTAAAGAAGAGGGACCAATGGAAACGTTGTCATGTTGCCGTTGTTCAGCATGGAAACATTCATTAGCTAACAATGACATTATTGTTCTATTAATATAAAGGGAGGTCAGGTACTCTTTAAAGCAGCTGCTAGTTATGGGTACTTTTTACTGAAGTACATTTCAAAGTTCTTTACTTTCACTTGAGTAAAGAAGTTTAGTCAGTACTTCTACTTTCACCAGAGTATCTGTACTTCTACCTGAGTAAAGGATGTGTACTTCATGCATAGAGACACAGAGATATTTCCAATCACAAACTATCTTGGGACTGGAAGGTGAACCTTTTGTGCCAAATTAGAAAATACATGAAGCGGTTGCAGGCAAATTGTTGCAAAGGAAAGGATGAATGTCTAGGATTTAAGTGTTCTGCAAAGATCCAGATGTGAGTGGGAGTAATCACGGAAACATCTTGTTCCTAAGCGCTGATTAAGAACTGCTAAAACATTCAAATGTTCTGATGATAATCTCTAAGATAAGATAAAACTGTATTTATCCCGAAGGAAATTGTTGTGCCAGAGTTACAACAATACAATAAACACAGCAGCAAATACAACTGTACACGATCAGTGCAGTAACAAGATACATTAAATAACTCACACTTCACATTAGCCTCACACACACAATATCTGTGTCCCTTACATTAACATTCATTGCATCACAACAAAAGGTGTGTGTGTGTGTGTGTGTGCGCGTGTGCGTGCGCGTGTGCGTGTGCGTGTGTGTGTGTGTGTGTGTGGTCTAGCATTACTATACTTGTGGGGACATACATCTGTTTACATAGTCACGTGTGGGGACTGGCTTCCCTTATGGGGACAAATTGGTGGTCCCCATGAGGGGAATCGTTAATTTTAGGGTGAAGACTTGGTTAGGTTTAGGATTAGGGTTAGGGTTAGGCATGTGCTGGTTAAGGTTAGGATAAGTCTCCAGGAAATGCATGTAAGTCAATGGAATGTCCCCTGACGTGATGTATACATGCCATGGTATTACATTGCATTGCATTTAGCTGACGCTTTTATCCAAAGCGACTTACAATAAGTGCGTTCGACCAACAAAATACAACCTTGAAGAAAACAGAATCATAAAGTACATCAGGTTTCATAGAGCCAAACATTTCAAGTGCTACTCAACTGGCTTTAGATAAGCCAGTCCTTTATTAGTATATAAGTGCTTTGTTAATAGTTCTATCGCTCGAAGTGGAGTCGAAAGAGATGAGTTTTCAGTCTGGAAGGTGTGAAAGCTATCTGCTGTCCTGATGGGGACAGCAGGGAGCTCATTCCACCATCTTGGAGCCAGGATAGAAAACCCACGTGTTTTTGCTGATGGGAACTTGGGTCCCCCTCGCAGCGAGGGTGCAGCGAGTCGTTTGGCTGATGCAGAGCGGAGTGCACGCGCTGGGGTGTACGGTTTAACCATGTCCTGGATGTAGGAAGGGCCAGATCCATTCGCAGCATGGTACGCAAGTACCAGTGTCTTGAAGTGGATTCTAGCAGTTACCGGAAGCCAGTGGAGGGAGCGGAGTGGTGTGTGTGTGTGTGTGTGTGTGTGTGTGTGTGTGTGTGTGTGTGTGTGTGTGTGTGTGGCTCTCATTCTTGTGCTTAAAGTATAATGACAGCTAGTAACGCCATGGGACTCGGCATGGCGTAATGAGGGATGTGTCGGTGAGGCCATGCTGCCGCTGACCCTCACTCTCTCCTGGAGAGAAACTGAATGTGAGGAGGTCAGGGCGACTCAGTGGTTACACACACTGTCCCTTCACCATTCATTCTGCTGCAGCGTCCTTGAGGAAGGCATCCAAGTATTTAAAATATAATTTAAATTCCTTGTAGGAGCAGAATTAAAACCACACTGGAAAATGCTGCTCCAAAATCAAGAATAATGAAAACAAGGTGTTTTCACTTGTAATGAGTAAAAAGATCTGGCGATAGAATAGATAGATAGATTTGCTTGGTAAGATTTCTTGAAATAAGACGCGATATTTAGATAAAGGAGATTACATCACATGTCACTTGTTAAACGCTTTTATCCAAAGCGACTTACATTCAGTACTGTGGACAATCCCCACAGGAGCACTTTGGGGTGAAGTGTATACAACGACCTGCTGACTGCAGTGGGACTCGAACTTCCTATCCCCTGATTTAAAGTCCATCATACTACCCACTGAGCCACAGCCTCCACTCTGAGATCTTGTGATTAGCTGGGAAAACTTATTTTGAACTATACCTTACCAGGAACAGTAAATGTTGTTACAAAATGAGCCTGAAATGCTCAAACGTTTTCAGTTTTCTGACGTTAGTTGGTGATTTTCTAATAAGAACGATGTGTTTGTTAAAACAAGATGAACCATCTTTTACAAAAACCACAGCAGCTTAAAAAACTTGTTTCATTTGAGATACAAAATAAGATGTTTTCAAGAGTCTTGAAGATGCATTGTCTACAAACAGACCCTCTATCTCTCTGCATTGTTACCTCTTCAGTTATTAGGTGTTACATCGAGTGTAAAGACACATTCTGATTTAATCGTTTATTTGGCAGGGACAATGCTCAGTAATGAACACTTAAAACATTCAAATGTATCAAGCGTAACAGTGCCAGATTTAGCTTTGAGCTCATTTCCCTCCGCAGTCCCCTCACATAAAACAGTTACATTATATTCTTATGACATATAAGGTACAAGGGAAGATCAAAGTGCAACATGTGTCTAATTTCTAGTCTATATTTGAGTAGAAATTAGATATACAGTGCACTATTAGGGATATATGCCTTTTAGCAACCCTAGAGTTTGATTGCAATATTAAAACACATGGTGGGTATTTTAGCGGCTGATTTAAGTGTCCAAAGATTTATTTAAAGTCAAAAGAATTGAATAATTTAAGCTTTCATTATTGCCCCGCCTTAATCAAGCTTCTGACAGCATCGAGAACCGTTTTGGAACAAGCTAACTCAATAAATGAAATCCTTGCAAGGCCATACATCTAGATACAAAAGACACATTCCCCAAGACGTCGTAAAAACCGTCTTTTCGCAGGTAGCACGGTGACAGGAAACGGATCGGTGCAAACACAATAACATCACATCAGTGAATCCAGGAAGATGTGAATAGCACAGATTCACCGGGACTTTTGGTTAAGAGTTTCTCCGAGTTTAATTGGAGGAAACGTCACAGGGATTTGGTTCAAGGAGACACACACACACACACACACACACACACACACACACACACACGTATCCCTCTGAAATCGCCCCCCTGCTGTGCAGTTGTATTTTTTCTCTCCTCTCCCTGAGAACCATTAGAGGAGACATCCCAGCTTCAATCACACCTGCCATCGCTCAGCCTTCGCCTCGTTCACCACTGAACTGAGCACCCCCCCACAAAAAAACTAAAAAAAAAACAGTGTTTCCATGGTAACCGGCGTCACTCACCCGGGGTATCACTCGGATTAGATCGAATGAGCAGAAGCAGCAACAGCATGCGGATAAAGAACCTGCCCAAAAGCTTGTGAGCTACAACATGTTGACATCCTTATACTGTAGCTGCTGACATCTACGTTTCATTGTACTTTATTATTTGCCTGTATATTAACTCCTTTGTTTGTTCACCATGTAAAGCGGCCTTGAGTCCCTTGAGTCTATTATTATTGTTATGATGGTCGGTTATAATTGTATTTGTTCATCCATTTGACACTGCTTCAGTTTGTACAGTATCATAATTATCTTCTTTCATTTCATTATTATTATTATTTGTTGCGTTATTGTTTAACACGATCTAAATAAATCAAATCAAATGGTCGGTTATAATCGTGTTACTTGGAGTGGAAGATCGCTTTCGATCCAACATACAAATCTAAATAACTTCATGCCAACATAAAAAAGCTGGCTGGATTTCCTGGTGTTTTTTAGCCATGCTAACGACGTAGCTCACAGTGAAGCCTCTTTCCCCATCTCTTTACTCCTGACTAACATATCATAACAGTATGAACTTGTGTACAGACATTCATGCTCCCCTGAGGATGTATTCTGCTGACTTAAGTGCATTTATGTCGCTATGAAGTCTTCATTTCGGGCTGTCATTTAAAATATCTCAACAACTAATGGATGGAAAGCCAGAGAGTCTGAGCCTCAAGACCTTGATGTTCCCCTGACTTTTGCTGTAGTGAACCCATGTGTGTTTTTAGGGGGTAGAAGGTCTCTTTAACCATTAGGTCAATTGACAAGTAATTTGGCACAGACACTCATGTTCCCCTTGGAATGCAATGTAATAACGTTTTGGCTCCATGGAATGCTCTTAACATCCCGATAGCAATGAATATCTGAAGTGCTTTGAAGCCGTGGCGCTGTAAAAAGCTCGACCAATCATCTGAGCCGGCTAAAGTAACTGGATGGCCTACCTGCCTGTCAGCCTTCCATCTGGGCACAAACTGATCTCGTGCCCTCATTGGTCATGTGTGCGTTCCTGTGTTGGAGGAGGGGCTCTGTGAGGAAGGGGCAGATTTGTTCCGGTTGTGTATTTTCAAATTCTAGCGCACTCGAGCTGCTTTCTCCAAAATTACCTACCTTAACTTTGAAAACGTTAGTTATTGACTTGTTCCCTGCAGAGCTAATGCCAGTTCACTCACACCAAGTTGAGTGATAATAGGCAAATGTTAGACGTTATTATCAGTAGCATCCGTTTGTATTTTCTTCACTAAAAGTTAACTGATAAGAAAATCAACTGCCGTTTTCTGCCTCTGCATGCAAACAGGAAACTCATAAGATAGCCCCTTTCATTTCCTCCTAGTTTATGAATGGACGAAGCAGATAATGCTGCAACAGTGAAAATGTCTCGTGAAAGTCCTCTCCCTCGCAGTGATGTAGGCGAACAGCTATAGAGAAACCTCTCTGTGCAGCGGAGAGGTTGTTTCCCTTGTAGAGCAATGCGACTGCAAAGGAGAGAGGGGTAGAAACCTGAGAGAGAGAGTTAAAGATCCTGGAAATAAAAGAAGAGGGAAATTGATAAGAGTGGATGACAAACACACGCAGAGGCATCCTTGAAGTTAATGAAGACACTGAGACGCCGGGCACGTTCGCAGCCGGGAGAGAGAGAGCTCATTTTAAGGAGCAGCCTGGCATAAATCACACAGCAAAATGCTCATGCCGAAGCCTCGCTAACGCAAAGGACTGATAGGGGAAGCTGATTTATTCACACTTTCACTATACACAACGCAGAGGATGGCAGGTGGCCGCGCATCAAAGCCCTCGATCCCAAAACACGAGGAGATCAGGAGCCGTTTGTGTGGAAGAAGAGGGTTTCTCCGTAAAAGCAAATCGTCAAAAATGTTTGTCAAGAAGAGGACGAGGAATCTGTCATTGAAGCGCTCCTGAAACCAAGAAAGAGAGAATGAAAGGCCGCCTGTGTTCTGGTCTCATTCTGCAAACAGAGAGGCAGCAGAAAAAGCTCGACTCAGTGATTTTGTTTTGTCATTTCTGTGACATGTAACGTCCACCCTTCTGTCGCCTGTGCGGTTTCATCACAATCGCCATGTGGCTCAGAAAAAACAGTCATTTGGCGTTTGTTTGATTCGATTTTTGAGGGTGAAGTCATCCATTCATTTCACGTTGTTTCTCACGCTGTGATTGGCAAGGCAAAAGGTCCCATGCAAGCTAATCGAAATACTGAATACAAACTTTGTATTTGAGGGGATGAAACCTCTTTTAGTAGTTAAAGGCATGCCCGGTGCCGTGGGAAGGCCAGGCCCTCCCATTTGACATTCCTGCCCTCCCCCAATAAACACGTTTTTTATTATTTATAAAAATTAAAAAATATATATATTTTATTTTTTTAATTATAAATAAACTGTGAACTTTTATGCTACGATGTATGTGATGTCAGAACAAACAAAAAAAATCGCAGGCTACGTCAAATAAATGCATGTGTCTGTGATTTGTGATTCGTCCCCATTTAGATCAGTCACAGCGTCACACTCTGCCGCCTGTTCTGGATTTGTTTATTGTGCATTCTGTAGACTCCCATTTCTGTTTGAATTACAAAATGGACATCAGAAATTGGCTCAAAAGGTCTAAGGATTTATTAAAACGAAATAGCGATGAAAGAACTGCAGCCGATGGTGCTGCTGGCGACCCTGCACCTGCCGTTGCAGCAGCACGCCTTAATGTCACAAGCTTGACCTCGGCAAACCCCGGGGCTGAGTTAGCGATGATCTGGGGTTAATAAACCCAAGCAGGTGAAGCTGGATCGTTATCCAGGGAGATTGTTTTCAGGAAAGAAGCGCACTTTTGCCGCTGCATGGAACACAACAGACCATGGCTTGAAGATTCGTTAAAAGCAGACGCAGCCTTTTGCTTCCCCTGTAGACAGTTTAAAGTAAACACGTCTTCATCTGATGCGGCTTTTACTGTCAAAGGTTTGTGCGACTGGAAACACGCATTACAGACTGATAAAGGACTGCTAAGGCATGCCGCATCAAAAGAACACATTTCATGTGAGAGTTTGTGGAGAGAGAGAGAGAGAGAGAGAGAGAGAGATACACGAGGAAACAAATAAGGAAATGAGTACTTTGGTGCAGATCAGCTGCACGGAGCCGTTATTACGTGTCAGCTGTCGTTGATATTATAGCTTTTTTAGCTGTCAACCTTGCTCGTGATTTACCAGTGTCTGTGCTGCCACGCACACAATGTTTCAAAGTGGTTGCTATGTTGCCCTTTATTTGTGTATGTTTGCGATAAGTGTGCGTCTTTATGCAATGCAGTTGGCCTTGCTGTTTGATATATATTGTGCCGCAGGCCCGCAGCGCGTGACGGTTTTGTGGGCCCTCCCATGAAAATCATAGGCCCTCCCTTTAGATTTGTTCTGGCGCCGGGTCTGGTTTAAGGACAAATGCCTTTAAGAAAAACAACACTTTATTCAGTCCAGGGGAAGACGTCCTGTCCTTTTTCAAACGCTTGTTTCGGCTTTTCAGGCGATAAATGCCAGGTGTCCAAATAGAGGGCTAACAACACTTGCACCTGCATTATCAGACGAACAAGCACAGCACCTGAAAAAACAGACAAATTCGTTTTTAACGTAACTTTTTCAAGCCCTGGGTTCATAGTTCACGATACTGTAAAAGCGTAAATGGCTCTGAATGCTTACAGAATATGAAAAACAAATTGCTTCTCAATCTCTTTTCCAGAGAGGCTCACGTTTCGAGACGTTCAGTCGCCGCAGGAGTTTCGTCACGGAGAGACGGCGGAGGTGGTCTGCGACGTGATCAGCTCCCCGGTGCCCGTGGTGGTGTGGTACTACCAGGACAAGGAGATCACCGAGGAGCACCACAGTAAGTCAAAACATCTGGTTTTAATACGGTTTTTCCGTCGGTCACCGAGTCACACGGGGTCATTTAAAGACCGGGAAGTAGTTCAGAACACGGAGGGAGTGACAAACATGAGTGTAGGTTTTGAATACTTCCATAAACACACTTTGAAAATGTTTTACGAGGAAGGAAATGCACAATAGGATGTCAACATTAGTCCACATGGTACCTTTAAGACAACAGGCCTGAATGGATGCATAGATGGAGTTTAGTCGGGGATTAAATGGTGCTTTGATTACAGGAAGTACAGTAAGCGCTTGTAATGAAGAATAACACATATTCTCATTTCAGGTTGTTTTCATATCACAGATTTCTTTATTTCTGTGTTTCCTTATCTGATTAAGCGGCTAATCCTAATAACTAAAGTTGATTTAAGGTTGTTCATTTAGTCCCACAGGCTTCTGGGATATAACACGTTACTGATATCTAATCTGTAAGTGATAACAATAGCAGATTACGATGACAACAATACGCAGGCATCTCAAAAGCTTTGCATTTTGAATGTGAACCTGCCAAACACACTTGATTGTTGAGAAGAAAAAACCTCCAAATGTTCCCAATCCTCTCCCTCCCTCATTGAAAAGACTTGGTGACGTGCCAACAACACTGTGTCTCTAGGAAACGCTATTTCCTTCTTTTGTGTGGCTTCACAATAAGACAAGGATATCAAATTCTATAAATAGAAATCCCATCGGCCCTGGAGGAGGCGTATAACTCGGAGAGAAACCGTGTTAACAGGCGACTGAGAGAATGGATTATAGAGCGATGGGATGCATGCAAAGCTCTTATTATGGAGCTATTTCTGGTGCATTTTGTTCATGAAATTGAGTCTTGATTTGATCCAAAACGAATGTAAAGTATAGAATTGTTAAGCTCTTGTCTGTCATCCCACCCTTTTGTTATAAAAAAGGTAGAGGAACACACGCAGGACAGTCTCACTTTCAGCAGGATTATTATTTCCAGGGAACCTGTAGAGCAGGATTCATTATTTCCTCGTCTTCTCCGCCCTGATTTACAACCCTCGACACCACTTCCCCGTCCTCCATCGAGACGAAAGCGCACGTCCGAGCGCTGATTAGAAAGAGTGACCCCTTGAATCTGTCACGTTATTTAATTGAAATTCAAATCTTCAGCGCCAGCGTGATGATGAAACTCGGAGAGGAAGAGAAGGACAGTTTAATCATTTCACTCTTTACGATGCATGGATATACATATCTTTGCTTGGGAGGAATGAGATAGAGGCCTCATCACTCCTCGCCACAATGGAGACTATTTGCAACTGTAATTGCGTGAATTTTTATCAGTGTGGACTCTATCAGGTAAATGTGCCCGAGTGGAGATTGACAGTCTAACTCCTGGAGAGTGGAGATGGCAATTTCCTCTGTGTGTTTTCCTAACTTCCTTATCTCCCTTCCTCTTCCTCTTCCTCTTCGACGTGAAGGCAGGTTTCAGGTGCTGCCGAACAACAACCTTCAGATCCATCAGGTGACCAAAGCGGACGAGGGTGTGTATCGCTGCGAGGCGAGCGTCGAGGCCCGCGGAGAAATCGACTTTGTGGACATCGCCATGGTCGTCAACGGTGAGTTTCACTTTGAATCAGGACTGGTTGTGAAGGTTCGACTACCAGACGATGCTTAAAGGTGTCCTATCATACAAAATGCACTTTTTGATGTCTTTTATACATAAATATGTGTCAGCAAATACAACCCTCTCTCTTTCCCTCCGTATCCACATCTCTAAAAACAAGGCATTTGAACATTTTAAAGGTCTGCTATCGTGCAAAATTCACTGTTTGATGTCTTTTCTACATACATATGGGGTATGAGGCTCGAATGGGTGATCTGTTTGGTATGTTTGAGCAAAACACCTCATAGACATGTTATATATCTGAGACCTATAATATATGCCTAAACATGTTATAATAGGAGTCCTTCAAAGGAATAGTCTAACTATTTAAAGCTGTTGTGTGTACAGAAAATAAGAAATGAAAGATTATTCAGAACGATCAAGACTTTCTGTTAATCGTCCTTTTGCCATATTGTATCCTACTTAAAACATTGTTAGTTTAAGATAAGATAAGATAAGGAGTACTTTATTGATCCCAATTTCCGAAATGTTTGCGTTGCAGCAGAGAACTCCTTTTATCACTTCAGGAACATCGCCAAACTCCGCCCCACACTCACTCTGTCTGACGCCGAAAAGCTGGTCCACGCCTTTGTCTCCTCCAGGCTGGACTACTGCAATGCACTCCTCATCGGGATCCCTAACAAAAGCATCCAGAAGCTCCAATACATTCAGAACAGCGCTGCTAGGATCCTGATGAGGGTGCGCAAATATGATCACATCACCCCCATCCTTAAAGCACTACACTGGCTACCCGTGGAACTGAGGATCGAATTCAAGGTCTCCGTCCTCACCCACCAGTGTGTCCATGGAACTGCCCCTCCCTACCTCAAGGAACTCCTCACCCCCCATACCTCCTTGCGGACCACCCGCTCCAGCAACTCCAACTTCCTCAAACCCCCCAGGACTAAGCTCCGTACTATGGGAGACCAGGCCTTCTGCTCGGCTGCTCCCAGTCTGTGGAACGCTCTCCCCGACCAAATGAGAGCACCACAGACCGTGGAGGCTTTTCAAAAAGGCCTCAAAACCCATCTCTTCAAAAGAGCCTTTGCCTAGACCTTTTATTTATGTTTTATTGCTTTTTATTAATTCTACCGTGTTGTGTAATGTTTATTTATACTCTTCATGCTCACTACTTGTAGCACTTCGGGATTTGAAATCAAATATGAAGTGCTTTATAAATGGAACCCATTATTATTATTATTATTATTATTATTATTGTACATTAGAGGATTTAGTTTCAGCCTCAGTTTGGGATTCACAGACGCTAAATCCTTAAATCTCTACAGTCTTGGTTGTTCTTTATTCTTGCATTGTGGGAGCGTTGCTTCGCTTTGCTCGCTTCAAAAGTTGAGCAATGTTCAACTTTTGAAGCTTCGGCGGAAGCGTCAGCCAATCCAATCATATGCCAGTACAAGCTCTAGCCGATCAAACCGCGTGCTTGTGTGTCCGGGGCGGGAGATTCATGTGATTGGTCGAGTTTCAGACACGCCCACCGGCAAGCTTCAACGCACGCCGCCGTGTGGACGCTGCGTTACAGTGACATCACCTTTAGATCTTTGTTTAATACTTGACTTGAGGAGAGACTACCAGACGATACTGAAAGGACGAGGCGTTGTTGACGTCATTGTGCCATATGTTATCCTCCACGAACATTGTTAGTTCCAGCTTGGGATTTACAGACGCTAAATCCTTAAATCTCTACAGTCTTGGTTGTTCTTTATTCCTGTAAGGTCTGAAAATGCGGTTTCCAAAGAAAGTTGTGAAGCTTAATCCTCGCCCAGCAAACAATGTTGTTACCAGGTCACCTTTAGCATAGATCTGTGTTTAAGACGGACCCAAACTCTCCGATGTTTTCGTCCTGAAGCCTTATAGGTTTCAGGACGAAAAGGAGAAGATTTCGTCCAGATTCAGCCTCACTGACTGTTAATAACTTCATCATTGGCACGCTTTTTGCTACCATTACTTATTCTCCTTATCCTTTAATGTGATTGAACATTTCAATTAGCGATGTCTCTGCGGTTTTTGGATTTACTCTGCGGGGCCCAAAACTCGAAGGATGACATTTTAATTTTCTCATTTGTCCTCATTTGCGCCGAGTCACCTGAGACTGCCGAGGTGATTGAAATGTGATTTTTTTTCAGGCCACGAAACGCAGCGTAACGCTTGAGCAGCTGCAATATTGTCTCTGCCCGTGTAATTCTCTCTCGGTTAATGTAATAGCAGAGCGGCCCTTCCGCCCAAAAACCTATGAATTGCGTTCAATTTAGCACACCACTTAGCTCACTTCAGAGGGAGATCCAATAAGCCGGCTCAATGAGGCTTGACCTATTATTGCAGCGACACGACTCTCGCCGTGTGCTCCTGAGATGTCCTGAGGAAGTCTCTTTAAGACTTAAGGTTCGGGTAACGGTAAAACGTTTGGATGAGAGGAATATGAAAAGTGTCAAAAGAACTATAATTTCACGGGAAGACTTCGAGGAATGTGAGAATTTGGTTTGGGATATTGCCAAATATCTGAAACTCTGACTACTTTTAAATCCAGGCTGAAGACTTTCTTTGTGCTTTGAATTGATATATTCACATCTCACACTGCACTGTAACTTGTATTCATGTTTTATTATCTTTGTATTTTAATGTTCCTAATGCTTTGAATTGCCTTGTAGTCGAAATATAACTAAACTGGCCTTTACCTCAAGGAGACTTGCTTAGCACTTCCCTAAAGACTCAAAGTGAGACACAATCTGATCTGCAGAAGCACCATTTGGTCCGCATTAAATATAAAAAGTACTTAGAGAAAACTTTATGAAAACTAATGACTTTGTCCTATAAGGAGGGCTAAGCTGGAGGACATCTGTTACAGCAGAACGTTCACTTTTGACTACTTTGAACTAGCTGAGCATTCAAAATGTGCTGCTTTTGAATGTCTCTCGCTAGCTAGAGTTGATTTTAAGGTGACAGCGATGGAAAACACTCAACGCTGATAATATTAGCTTGTATCAGACTGTGCTTGTTGCACAACAGCCACTCTCGGTCCCAGGAGTTTACAGAGTCCCTGAGGATCTGTGTTTGTAGCCTTTATTTAACCAGGTGAAAGCCCCTTGAGATCAAAAGATCTCTTTTTCAAGGGTGACCTGCAGTGTTCCTGTGATGTTCAGAAAAGTTGCACCTATAGGCTTCCGCTATTTGAAAACTACATTTCCGTTACCTGCCCTGAAGCTAGCCGTGTGCTCTCACTCTGAAGAACTAGTTTTGTAGGTGTAGAAAACAGGGAATATTTGAGTTCTCTCTCTACACCACTGCCTTCATGTTTATAGGGCTTGTCACCTGGAAAATTCACGAGGACTTCTCCCCCTCTGTGGGTTGTAACACTGAAGGCAAGGTGGAGCAATAACAGGAGAGGATTTGAAGGAAGGCAACTAGAGAACAAATCGACTCGGACTGGTCCAAACACACACAGATAGCAGATAGCTGGGAGGCTCGGATATATCAATGCTACATGTTTTATCAATCAGCTACGGATGCTGAGCTGTTTCTGCTGCCGTGCCCGGGGATATACCGGTGAGGGCGGATGAACAAACCCATAAGAAAACAGCCAGAATCAGTCGTTGTGTGTGTGAGGACCCCTGGAGGAAGAATGAAGAAGAAAGCCAGGCAGCTACAGAGCGGCCATCTTTACTGTAGGCTCGTCTCCTGAGGGCCGACACTGAGCTCTTACTCTGTTTGAGTCAGAGTCAGGATGGACATCGATTCTTATCCAATCAGAAGCCAACAGAGAGCGCTGCAGATAGACGCTTCCTGCACCAATCACACCGCCACTTATGCGATTTTAGTTGATATACCTCTTACAATAAAGCAGTGTCTACTTGTGTCACATATTTATGACAACAAGTTATAAGCAATGCCAAAAAGAAAAATAATTGGATGACCCTCTTTATTGGTCACACGTACATGCCCACAGCCCACACAGCGACATTTGACCTCTGCATTTAACCCTTGCTAGTACCAACAATAACTCTACCATTTTATTTTGTCATTTTAAGGGGCCATTTTGTCACTGCCTTTGTTGTACTTCTCTTGTGCAATTTCTGTTTATATACCTATATAATAAAGCAGGGGCCGTTTCTCAATCTCGAGGATGCTGGCTTGGTAGTCGCGTACTTCCAAGTCACTTCCTTCAGAAACGAAGCCAGTATACTTCCAAGCCACGGCTTCGGAAAACGAAGAAGAATGGAACAGGCTAACAAGTGTGCCACTCTCTCTAACGGTTTCAACATAAACTGTACCGAAAGTAAATACCTCACGATGTCTATCTAATTATGAACTTGCTTTACTTTCACGGAACACATTTTTGGTGATAACAAAGTCACATATCTACCAACACATGTTCTACGCCACTATACTTACATTTCAATGCGTGCTGCGTCGGTTCAGCCATTCTCCGCAAGGGTTTTTGAAATTGGTCCGTGCGCAAAGCATTGTGGGGGATTTTAAGGACGCGAAGTCTACCCATGTGCAGCCTCGACATTTCCCCCAAACCAAGGACGCGGCCTCTGTGGAATTCCAAGTATGCTGGAGATTGGAACAGTCCTTCGGCGGCACTCGATGACGTAGCATCCTTGAAATATTGGCTTGGAAGCCAGAATCCTCGAGATTGAGAAACGGCCAGTGTCTACTTGTAACTCCTTGTCGCTTGTTTAGGACATCAACAAGTGATAAGCAATGCCACATTGATATTTAAAGGGGCCTTAAAGGTTTTATTTGCATTTTGTGCATCCTTTTGCATGCACACATAACACACGACAGGAAAGGGGACAACCCCAAAATCATCATAGAGCCCCTTTAAGATCATTTCACATGCATGAATAAAGTCTAAAAAACCAAAGATCTCTCTACAAAACATGGAGAAATCAGCATTGTTAATATTCCAAGGTTAGAAAAAGCCCTCGGGACAAC